CCGCCTCCAGGTGGTGCCATGTCTCAAAAACGACCTTAACCGCCAATAGCTCCTTGTCCCAAATCGTATAGTTGCGCTCTGGAGCCCACAACTTCCAGGAATAATAGGTGCATAGGAACAAGCTGCCTGCGGGAGCATAGGCCTGGAGGAGCACCACACCAACAGACACATTGGAAGCATCTGTTTCCACCACAAACGGCTGGCCTGGATCAGGGTGTTTGAAGATAGGCCCAGAAGCAAAGGTAACCTTCAACGCCTCAAAAGCTGCCTGCTCCTCAGCACCCCAATGGAACTTCTCCCCCTTCTTGAGCAGACTAGAAAGGGAGCAGTCAAGGCAGCAAAGCGAGGAATAAATGTGCGGTAGTAGTTTGTGAACCACAACAGTCGTTGCACATCCTTAACCTGCTGTGGAGGTTCCCATGCCTGTAACGACTCTATTTTTCCTGGGTCCATTTCCACCCCAGCAGGTGAAATACAATGACCCAAGAAGTCAATCGTGGTTTGTACAAACTGACACTTCTCACACTTAGCAAACAGGTGGTTATCACGCAAACATTGCAACACCAGCCACACATGTTGCCAGTGTTCCTGCAGGGAGTCCGAGTAAATTAAAATGTCATCTAGATAAATGACCACGAATTGATCCAAGAAATCATGGAAAACATTGTGCATGAAATGCACGAACACAGCTGGAGCATTGGTTAATCCAAAAGGCATCACGGTATACTCAAAATGACCGTACCTTGTCCGGAAAGCTGTTTTCTACTTGTCTCCTGCACGAATGCGAACCAGGTTGTAGGCCCCACGCAAGTCCAACTTCGTGAAGATCTTAGCTTGATGAAGCCTCTCAATCAGTTCAGGGATGAGGGGAAGCGGATACCGATTCCTCACTGTGATTGCATTCAACTTGCGGTAATCACAGCACAGACATAGCTCCCCGATTTCTTTTTTACAAAAAGCACCGGTGCAGCCAATGGGGAGGTAGAAGGCCGGATAAACCCTTTCCAGAGGTTCTTGTCAATAAAATCCCACAACGCAGCCAACTCCGGTTCTGACAGGGAGTATATGCGACCCACCAGCAATTTTGCATCGGGCAACAAGTCGATTGGACAGTTATACGCCCGATGCGGGGGCAACTGATCCACCTCCTTCTACTCAAACACATCAGCAAAGTCCACCAACTCCACAGGTAGACCCAGGTCCACGGGCGTAGCCACACTCCTTGTACAGGAGCACAAGCAATGGTTGGCACACTTCCTATCAAGGAACTGCACAGCTCCAGAGGACCAGACAATCTGTGGATCATGGGCCTGTAACCACTCCAAACCCAGCACCAACGGAAAATGAGGCACTGCGGCAACGTAAAACACAGTTTCCTCCACATGCTGCCCAACACGCATGCAAAGGGGTTTGGTTGCCGCAACCACAGGTCCCGAACGAAGGGGCTGACCATCAATCGTCTCTACCATTACTGGTGGGGACACCTGTTGCTGAGAAATGAACCACTGCTTTGACAAAATGAGCATCCATTAAATTGGCTGTGGCCCGAGTCGACCAAGGCTTGGATCTCTACCGCTCCCACACCAAGCACAAACACACTTGCTGTCAGCACAAGATGCTTCACCAATGATGACTGGGGTGGAGATGTTGAAGATGTCAAAGGTGGCGAGGGTGGCAAGGTTGGTAAAGATGGTGGTCCTAAGGACTTTACAACCCGACCTACAGACCTCCGTAGGCCGAGCGATGCTCGTTTCCCACCACCACTGGCGTTTGCTGCTGTGGATGTCTTAACAGGACACTTGGCCGCAAAATGGCCTCGATTGCCACAATAGAGGCATAAACCATCACAATGACGTCTATCCCTTTCTACTTGAGTCAGGCAAGGGCGGGCAGCCCCCAACTGCATGGGCTCCTCCAAAGGCACTTCCACCAGGGGCGCCGTCTTGCTGGGAACAGATGCAGTCTCCATCCGTCATTGCACCCGTTGCTGCTGAAGCCTAGCATCGATACAAAGACACAGATGCATGAGCTCCTGAAGGGTGCGAGGGCATTCAGTGTGCGCCAACTTGTCCAGAAGCTCTGACGACTAACCCTCCTGGAACTGGTCTAATAGTGCTGCCTCATTCCATTGTACATCCTGGGCAACCACCCAAAAACTAGCAATATAATCCATGAGTGAGCTACGCCCCTGCTTCAACTCTCTCAAACGTCTGTTTGCTGTTTGGCTCCGAACAGGGTCCTTAAACATGGCCTGGAACTGACGGCAAAATTCGGCATAATTGTCCAACACCTGGTTGGTCTGGGTCAACAGAGGCATCGCCCAACGTGCTGCAGAGCCTGACAACAAACTAATCAAAAACCCCACCTTATCCCGGTCAGTGGGGAAGTCCTCAGGCCGAAGGCTCATATAAAGCTGGCACTGCCCTCAAAATGCTGGAAATTGGGCCAGCGAACCATCAAATTTATCTGGCACTGCCACTGGGCATTTGCAGCATGGCCAGACAGCTTGCATTTGTGCCACCTGTGCAGTCAAAAGAGCCACTTGCTGGCTTAACTGCCGTTGTCTGCTCTGAGCTGATCCATGGTCATCCCACAAAAAGCAAAAATAAGTTGAAGGGGTGGCTGAAGTCAAAATATGATGACCCGTAATGTCTCAAAAATAACAGAAAAACTAAAAGATGAATCAAGGTCTTGCAATGCCTTCAACTTAGCTTCGCTGTTTTATTAGTCACAGTTTAAATTCAAAAAGTAGATAATGAAGCAAAAGGAAACTAGAAACAAGCCGTTTTGATGAGAGTTCCAAGGCAAACCAAGATAATTAATCACACATTCCAGGAAGATAACCGGGGAGAGCCCAAGGGAAGAACACCAACAAAGATAAAGCTCATCCAAGGAAAACACTAATTCGACTTCAGCGCCTATGAACACGCAGTTTCAAACTCTTATACAGAGCTCACAGCTGCAACCCATGAGGAGGATCATGGCCCTCTCCTCCTGAGTAGACCACACTTTTCCTGATCCTCTCCTCCCTGCGTGCCCTAGGATGGATAGGGGATGGGCCTGGATCCTCCTCTGATTGCTCAGCCGGCCTCTGTCCTTCCCCAGCCACCTTTACCACCTCTGGAGCCACACTTCCACTCCCTGTTGGCTGTTCCTACTCTTCCTCAGAGTCAGTCTCCACCAGGGGATGACACCCTAAGAAGCATAAATCAAATAGCTCCCCCTTCCAAATATAAAATTTTTAATGGCAAATTTAAAAAAAATAAATCAACCTAAAAAACCAAAATGCAAAATTCAACACATTTTGCAGTGGAAAGGTTCTGAACTCAGAACCTCCTATTCTAAGATTAAAATAGGGTGTTCAAACTTATAAAAGAGATCTAATCTTAAAACATGTGTTCCTTATTAGAACATCATATTTTGGAACCAGATTATTTCTGCCACACTCAGAAGAGATTGGGAATGTTTCATGGTCAGAGCTTGTTGGCTTTACAATGTTTCAACACTTGTAGTTATAGGTTCTGAAATTACAGCAGTTTCTGGGCCTCTTTTTATGACTTTGGACAAACCATTATTTTCAACATATGAATGCACAAATATTTTTAGTATACAAATAAAGAAAATTTTACCACCACATGAAATATTTTCCCCTGCTTTTCTTGATGTTTTATCTTAAGGTTTTTAAAAAGATCTGAACGGGAGCTCTTTCTTTATTGCTTAATTCAATCCAGTCTGAAGCCAGAATTAACAGATCTTTATATTTTGAATCACAAATATACAAGCATGTTACTCAAGCATCACTATCCATCCCATAGGACAGTAGTCTCTACCTCTCCCCCTAGGTATTTTAAAACTGTATTTTCCAGAGAATGAAACTGACATTTCCTCCATTAAAAACAGCATGCTTTGCTCACTGAACTAAATTTCCCAAGTTAAGCAAAAAGATGAAGGAGCAGCAACAGAGAAGAAGCACCACAGTAAACCAAAACTAAAGCAGTCTCTGCCTTTGGTGCAGCTTCCCACCCCCATAAATAGCAGATATCAGTAATCTGTGAATCAGCCTTTGAAATATTCTGAACTGCAATTCCCACAACCCCTTCTCAGTTATTACGGTAGTTGTAGCTAAATCATCAAGAGGGCACCAGATTGTTTACCTCTTATATATTCTTCAGCAATCTATCTCCCTCTGTACACTTTATATATATGATACCAAACAGAACAAAGAGCTCTTTCTTTCTTTTTCCAGTCTAAAATAAAGTGCCTGTCAAGGATGCCACTTTTGAACTATAACAAAGAAAAGATATTCAATATGCCATTCAGATAATTTGGGAAGAATTCTTTTAGATAGAAGATAGATAGGTTTCTTTATTGGCCAAGTGTGATTGGACACACAAGGAATTTGTCTTGGTGCAAATGCTCTCTGTGTACATAAAAGAAAAGATACATTCATCAAGAATCATCAGGTACAATACTTAATAATAATCATAGGGTACAATAAGCAATCAAATCATACTAGGAAATAGTCAATATAAATCGTAAGGATACAAGCGACAAAGTTACAGTCATACTGTCACAAGTAGGAGGGGATGGGTGATAAGGAGCGATGAGAAGATTAATAGTAATAGTAGTGCAGACTTTGTAAATAGTTGGACAGTGTTGAGGGAATTATTTGTTTAACAGAGTGATGGCATTCGGGAAACAACTGTCCTTATGTCTAGTTGTTCTGGTGTACAGTGCTCTATCGCATCATTTTAAGGGTAGGATGTCCGGGATATGAGGAGTCTGTAAATATTTTCAAAGCCCTCTTTTTGACTCGTGCAGAGTAGAGTAGTCCATACGTTTTACAGTGTTTTATTAATTTTTACTCTGAATAACCAAAAAATATAATTAGACATGTACCCTTTGTTATTTATTTAATTCAATAAGATTCCATGTTTATTAACAAACAAATCTTGTCACCAGAAATCTACAAAGCCATAGTCTAAAAACTTCATCCTTACCTTTTATAAAGATTCTGAGATATAAACAGATTCAATAAGCATTTATGTAACTTCTGCTTGTCCCCTTGTTGCTGGAACAACCAGGGCAATTCATCTGCACTCCTCCATGTCACTCTTTCTTCACTAGGGTGATTGGAGTGGAAGAATAAGTAAGAAGGCAAATTGCAAGGAAATGGGATTATCCAAATTACAGTAGAATCATAATACTATTTTACAAAGGCATTTATTTGAACATGAAATATATGTCTGGTCTTTCCACCTGTATTTTTTTTTAAATTTGTAGTGATAATGTAAAAATGATCAGAGACAATAAAATTAAGATTTTTTTTTTCTGTTGCTGGATCAGAGCTAACATATAAAAGGAGATAATCAGAAGTGGATGAGGAATGTCCTGCCTGGGAAACTAGCATAAGACAGAAAAAGTTCTATAAAAATATTCTATTAATATATATCAGCCTTCAATACTCTCAACCATGGTATCCATTTGGATCAACTATGTGAGTTAGGGCTAAGCGGCATTAGTTTTGCACTGGTTTAATTGCTTCCTCCAAGCCTAGTGTTGATAGGCCAGTGCTGGGGAGAGATCCAGTCCCCAATCGCTTGCTTGAACTGTGCAATGCAAGATGCAATTAAAGAAATAGACAAGCAAACAAATAGTAAAATGAGATAGTGGTAGAAATGAGATTTGAAATATGGGGTTCCTAAGTTATACCCTAGTCCTTTAGCTGCCCTATCATGTAATATTTAAACTACAATCACTTGGTATGTAGGACAATCATATAATATAGTTTTATCCTCTTACAGCAAATAGTCACAAATAAAATTGCACATAACAAGAATGTGAAAAAATATGTGTACTTAAAAGCCCATCTGCCATATTCTACATGCTTAAAAATTTCCAAAACATGCTCCAAATTGTGACTATGTGAAGCCATTTACCATGGATTCCAAAATCTGGACTGGATGGATTTTCTGATGACAAATCGTGCTAACAAGGCAGTTATAACCAAAATTACCTTCATTATTTATTAAGTATTTAAACAGTCACTAAATTATTTCTATATCTCATAATCTGAAAATCTTACCTCAACTGCCTGGTAAAGTAGTCTATCAGTTTTTCTCTATGAGAGGCAAAACCATTCTGACTTCCTTCTATATATTCCAATTTCACTGTATCCCAAGCCTGAAAAGAAATATTAGTACTATTGTGTAACAATAGTAATAACAACAGTAACATATTAAACTTGTATGTTGCCCAACTCAATGCCTCTGGGAAGCTCCTAACATTCAAATAAAAAAAAATACAATATAATCAATTACGTAGAAAAGATAAATAAATTAAGCACATCTCACTCTCTCTGCCAAAAGCCTGGATGAACAACCATGTCTTTATGACTGTTCTAAACCAGGGGTCCCCAACCTCTGGGCTGCGATCCATTAGTGGGCCATGACATATTTGGAAGGTACTGTGCGAGCTGCAGCCCAGCATGCACAGCTCAACTTGCGCAAGCAGCAGGCCGGCACATGTGGACACACATACAACTTGCGAAGGTTAAGCTGCGCATCCATGTATGTGCATGCATGTCAGCCTGTCACTCACACAATTCAAGCTGTGTATGGGGACACACTGACCTGCTGTTCATGTAGTCCAGTACACCTCTCCCTCTCCCCAGGCTGCCAACCTGGTTGGGGACTGCCATTCTAAACAAACAAGGGCCTCTCTGTGTTTGGGGGGGGAGGGGAGGACCTAATTCCAGAACATTAATACAGAGATGATGCATTTGCTGGGTCTCCACATGAAATTGCTTAATCAAAAGAACCCAGAGCATACCAACCCTGCAATTAGTGTAATATTCCAAAGAGAATAATAAACGATACAGCAAGTCACTTCCCAGGAAGTAAAAGAAAAATCCAGGCTTATGCATGTACAGGTAGTCCTTGACTTATGACACAATTGAGCCCAACATTTTGTTGTTAAGCAAGACATTTGTTAAGTGAGGTTTGCTCCATTTTACAACCTTTCTTGGGTTAGTTATTAAGTGAACCACTGTGGTTGATAAGTTAGCAACTTGATTGTTAAGTGAACCTGGCTTCCCCATTGGCTTTGCTTGTCAGAAGGTCACCAAAGATGATCACATGACCTTAGGACACAGCAATGTTCATTTGCCAAGCATCTGAATTTTGATCAAGTGACTATGGCGAAGCTGCAAAGGTTGTAATGTGAAAAATGGTCATAAGTCACTTTTTTCAGAGCCATTGTAACTTTGAACAGTCACTAAATGAATTGTTGCAAGTCGAGGACTACTTGTGTTTTTACAAATCCTAAGCTATTATAGTGAAATAGTGAATGTAGTGAATTTTACTTGCCATTTCTTGCCTACTTTGTGAGACATCAGTACTGGATAAAATAATTTATTTTCTTAAGAACAAACTTGTAAAGAAAATGTTGTGAATGTTGGAAATAAAAAAATTACATTAATAATGATATATTAATTGGACAGGTTAATTTTGGACAGATTTTTTAGCTTTAAAAAATATGTCCAAAGCATTAGCAAAAACTGGCAGATAAGTATACAGTAAGATCATTAAGTAACTAATTTCTTTGCCAAAATACCTGAAGATGCTGAAACCTTAACAAACCACATCTATAAGTCAAGATACACATTTTGTGCATTCTATAAATTAAGGAGGCCAGCATTTCCCACGATAGCTCAGGGCAGAGTTCCATGAGTTCTGATTCACTGATTCCATTGTGACTAACACTGATGAGGCACAGAATCTATAAAACAAACACATAAACAATTTTATTGTATTTATTGATTCTGTTACATGATTATCAAGACAGATAACACTGTACTATTAAGAAAACCAGGAGATGCTTTATTAAACTACCGCTATGTGCATTTCTTTTTTTTTAATAAAAGTTTCATTTAAGTTTTCACAAAACATACAAATACAAATAAAATATCTTTTTTTGAGAACAGTGTGGCCTCGGGTTATCACTTCTCCATACAGACATAAACTCAATACATATTTATCTTATACATTCTAATCCATACCTTATAACTATTTTCACAATTTTTTCGATAGCTTTTCCCTTTCTTTACTTCCTATAGCCTTATTTTAAATTATCTCATGCCTTTCTTAATTCAAGTACATATCTTTTTCTAATTTTTAAAATCTTTCTAATCAATGTATTTATACTTTCGTCTGTCCTGTTGACACTTTCATATTATCTTTTCTCATAAAACAAATTTTCTCCTGTAATTACTAGACTGGAGTGTAACACCTTTGTATCTTTTTTCAAATATTATTTAAAAAATTAAGTTACATCTTTACAGTTATAACATTCATTTTCTAACCTGTATTTTATAACACATACCTATTTTCAATAGAATTCTGCTTGGTACATTCCCTTAAAATATACACTAAATTCTTAAAAGAAAAAAGTATATATGTATATATATCTGTGTATGTATGTATAACAATAGTAAATGGAATAATTATTCTATTCAAATACAGCTCTGCCATTAATATTAATCTTTTACATTTCTATTTCTTTTAACAAACATTACCTAGTAATATCAGTTGTCTTTCACTTTAATCATCTATATTTCATATTTTATTTATTACTGTCTTTAAATAAAAAATCAAACAATAGTTATTAACAATAGTCAACAAAGTTATTATTCTTATTCAAGTTTATCTTGTCAACTGATAAAAATCTTCCATGTTTTTCAGTTTTTTTAAAACGTTATTTTTCCACTACATATCAATAGAAATTTTTTCTCACTTTAATCATCTAACATATTTTCTAACCCTTTTCTATTTCTAATATAACAATGCTATCCCATGCACCCTTGCAGAATCCTCTCAAGTTAAATTTTAACCATTGTCTCTGTGTCTTTTAAATAGGTTTATACCTTTAATTCTTGTACACTTTTGCTGTACCTCGATATCTTGTTTCTGTTTTTTGTAGCTTTTTTTCCTTTCTCTCTTCCCTCTCTTCTTCTCCCTCCCCTTTTTATTCCCTTTTCTATCTGATTCTCCCTTCTGTGATCCTCCCTTCTGCTTCTTCCTAATATTATGATTACTTTTCAAATTACTCTTTTTTGTTGTTGTTGCTTCAGTGCTTAAGTTTTTAACTCCCTTTCCCCCTTTCCCTTTTTTACCCTGCTTAGAATTGCTTGATCATTAAAGATGGCTTCTTCGTTGTCCCGCCCTTCTTGTTCTGCCAGCGTTTCTTGTTGTTTTTCATAGTTCAAGATCTCCATTTCTAAAAATTGAAATACGAAGCCAAAAGATCCTCTTCCGTCTTGTGCTTCTTCTTTCTGTTCTTTAAGTCTCATTTTAAGTCTTCAAGGAATGATGCCATTTTAAAAAAAATTAAACAACCCCCAATTGATTTTATTTTATTTCATTAGGATCCTCCATCCAAAGTTCCAGGAATCATCCAATAATCCAAAACTGTTTCTTGCTTCTTTTCTCACTTTCTCTTTCCAGGGGCTTTGTTATCTTGTAACAAAGTTTCAGCTACAATGTATCTTTTGCAAGCCTTGTTAGAATTCCACTATCAATTTTTTTTTTAAGTTCTAGGTGATCTTCTCCACTTTCCAGATTTCACCCTCTTTTTTCCCTTTTCTCTCTGCTGCTTTCTTTCTTTTTTTTAAAGAAAGTTTTTAAATTATCCAAAATTCTTTATCCCTTTGACACTTTATTTTCAGCTAGAAATAGCCTATTAGTGTCAAAGTGGATTAGTATCAATTTCTTATTCGAATCTCTTCTTCTTAATGTTCCAAGTCAGTTAAAACTGTCAATGTTAGAGGAAAAAAAGCCAATTCCGTTTCCTTTCCCTTTCGCGGCTTAAAATCTTTTTTAGGAATAGTATTAGTCTTTAAAATTCAGGTTCCAGGTACCTTAAATAGATACTCTCCATTCAACCCGGGCAGTCAAACTTTCTCCTTTAAACTTCCTCCTGCACAATCTTGTCCAGTCAGGTTCTTCTTTGAAGGGGCCATTTCTGACCACTGCTGCACCCACCTTTGGGAAAGGGAGTAATGGCCAGCCGAGGAGGAGAAATGCGGCTCTCCTCAACCCTGCTGACAGCTCCCCCTTCTTCACCACCTCTACGGGGTGGCTTCAGCCCCGAATCCAGGCAGCTCGGGGCGCTCCAGTGGCAAGCACGGATCAAAACCACGGACGATCGCGATTTTGGTCTGTCACCGAAGAAACCCAAACCGGAAGTCCCAGCTATGTGCATTTCTTTTTTGGGTTTCTTTTCATAGAAAAATCCTCTATACGGAGATCACAAATATCTTTACAAGTAAGTCCTCAACTTGTGGCCACAATTAGGACTGTAACTTTTCTCATTAAGTGATGTGATTAATAAATGCGGCATTCTAATTTTACAATTTTTTTGCCATGATTATTAAACAAATCCAGCTTTGACTTTGTTAGTCAGAAGCCTGTTGAGAAGGCTAGAAGTGGTGATAATGTGAACCTTGGACACTGCACCTATCATAAATACATGTCAGTTGCCAATCACCTGAACTGAGATCACGTGATTAAAAGGACCTAGCAGTGGTCATAAATATGAAGTCTCATCATAAGTCACTTTTTCAGTGCTAGTCTAAACAGATGGTCATAAGTTCAGAACTACTGTATTTTTCTTTGCACAATACAAAAAAGGCTAATTTAATTTTTTTGTTTCATTTTTAGAATTTTTATTATACTATTTTGGCTGTTAGCTGCCCAGAGTTATTTATGTGAGATGAACATTTCCTAAATAAGTAATAAGATCACACAGACAAGGGACTATATTTACTTTTTTTCTGAATATTCTTGGATTTTCTTTTTTTTTTAATACCAATTTTTCAACACAAATCTCAAGAGTCTATAATTAATCTTATACAACTAAAGTTTAAAAAGAAGAACTATTTTGAAAGACAAATGTAAAACAAAGGGGTTTCGGTGATCATGGAATTAGATTGCAAAGGAAACATTTAAATTACTGAATCCAATCCTGCAGAAAATGTTAATGAAAAGTATACCAATGACTCCCAGGGAACAAGGGAAGTTATCAGTCTCCCATCTTATTAGAAGGAAGAAAAACTGAACTTACTTGCCTTTCATTATCCATATACTAAATTAGTGTTTTTCAGCTTGGCAACTTTACAATGCATTGGCTTTAATTCTCAGAATTCCCGAACCAGCATACTGGCTATGAAATTTTGTGAAGAGTAGTCTTCAAATTGTAATGCTGTTTGAAAAACACTGTCTTAAGTAAAGTGCCTAATCCATAAAATTAGATGTGTTATTGCATCAGCCTTGAAAACTTGCCTCCTTCATGAGTCTTTTCTCCTTATCACTTTTCAAGGACTCTTCAACTGATCTCAAAACTAGCTGGTAAAGAGCCATGACATCCTGGCACTCAAAACACCTCTGTAGAAATACATCAATATCTTCTGTACTTTTGGTTCTGAATGACATAATACAAAATATTTTAAAAAACAAACAATACATTCAAATTTTTACTTGAAATAGGCAAGTATTAAGAATCATAAATCTTCATAATTGTTATATGTCTATATAACTAAAGCTCAAATGTTAATGGTTGTTCATAATCTAAAGCAGGGGTGGGCAAACTACGGCCCGCGGGCCACATCCGGCCCGTTGGTCTGTCCAATCCGGCCCGCCCCTGAAAAAAAATCGCTGGGCGTGGCGTATTGCCCTGCGCCACGTGGCCCCCAAAGCTGCAAAACAGTGCGGAGCGCTGTCGGGGTAGGAAAGAAAAGAAGAACTTTGCAAAGGCCTCGGCTGGGAGTTCGAAATCACCTTCGAGTGCGACCTCTCCGAAGGTGAGTCCCCGCCGATCCCCCTTTTTTTTCCGGAGCTTCCAGGCTTAAACTTTGCAGAGGCAAAGTTTGCAGGCGGGAGCGTCTTCCGGCCGAGGAGCGGGAAGGGTTCCGCCCGGCGGGCGGGCGGGCGGGCTGCTTGGAGTGGGCTGCTTGGAGCCACCTAAAGCTAGGCCGCTGCTGGTGGAGCCTTGCCCTGCCTTGGTGCCCTGTTTCCCGGCTCGGCGGTCCTGCTCGGGTGGCACTTTAAAAGCCTGCTCCCAGCACCCGAGCAACTTCCCAGCAACTTGCGGCTTCCTTTTTCCTCGCGGGCGCTCGCGCCTGGCCCCGAGCCGCGCGGCGGAGGGGAAACCCGGAGCACCGCCGGGTCGCCTCCTCCAAGCAGCCCGCCCACCCGCCTGCCAGGCGGAACCCTTCCCGCTCCTCGGCGGGAAGACGCTCCCGCCTGCAAACTTTGCCTATGCAAAGTTTAAGCCTGGAAGCCCCGGAAACCCGAGCAACTTCCCAGCAACTTTCGGCTTCCTTTTAACTCGCGGGCACTCGCGCCTGGCCCCGAGCCACGCGGCGGAGGGGAAGCCCGGCGGGCGGGCAGGCTGCTTGGAGGAGGCGACCCGGCGGTGCTCCGGCAGCAGCAACAGGCAGTTCCGCCCGGGCTCCGCTCAGGTGTCCGGCTGGGGCTGTCAGGAGTTGCTACCGCCGGCGCAGCTCCACACGGCTCCAGTCCCGTGTTGCCTTGGGAAGGAAAAGGCAAAACCAGGAGCCGCTGAGCCTGAGCCTCTGGTGCCGCTGCTGCCGTTGCAAAGCACCGCCGCGGCTCTTCCTTTTTGCCTTTCCCTTCCCAAGGCAATGCGGGACTGGAGCCGCGCGGAGCCGCGCCGGCGGTAGCAACTCCTGACTCAGGGGGCCTCCGAGGGGAGGGGAAGGAGGAGAAGAGGGGGGGGGAAGGGTGGGGGGGGGAAAGGGGGGGGGGGCGATTCCCAAAAAATCTTGTGCTGACCCGGCCCGTCTGTCAAATTTTAAAAGTCAATGCGGCCCCCGAGCCAAAATGTTTGCCCACCCCTGATCTAAAGTCACTTGTTTGAGATGGGAGAAATTGAATAAAATAAATAAATAATACATAAGAGCGTCTGCTGATGCATGCTACATTTTGTTAAAAAGGGAGAGAAAGGGAGGAGAGATGAAAATATGGCTACACTTTTAGCCAAATAAGTTGCCTCTGAGATATGTTTTATCCCAAAGAACTCAATCAGTCTTAACTTTTAATGGCAAGACATCAGGCAGAAATCCTCCAGAAAAAATAACAATATGAAAATTAAGTCTAAATAAAACATTTGAATTTATTAACCAAAAGATATCTAAAGTTAGTTTAGTGTTTACTGTACTAAAGCCAAATAAGCCCCAATATAAATATAATATAAATAAGGAAAGTTAATAAATCTGTTAATTGTTCTTATTTTAGAGCATATTTTAGAGCAAAAAAAAAAATGATGCTATTTAAAAGTTACAGTTTTGTGCTTGGTCTAAGACATAGCCTGTGGAAAGATGTAGGCTCCATGATTTCACTCATGTGTTAGCTTTCTCCAATATAGTGTCAGTGAGAAAGTTTGAGGCCCACAACACAACAAAGGGTGACATATTAGAGAAAGCTGTTGTAGCTCATTAAACCAGTAGATGTTATTGCCACATATGACATCACAATCAGGTCAAATAAATTAATTGTATATTCCATAATGCAACAGAGGACAGTTTAACCTAGGGATAAAAGTAGGATATTCATTCCAATGCTTATATTTAATCAGCTGAATTCATAGATCAGGATAAGGTGAAGTTTGATTAACCATGGTTTGCTGCATCAAAAATATTTGGCTGAATCCAAACAAAAAGGTAAGCCTAAATAGAATAGAATAGAATAACAGAGTTGGAAGAGACCTTGAAGATCTTCTAATCCAACCCTCTGCTTAGGCAGGAAACCTTACACCACTTCAGACAAATGGCTATCCAGCATCTTTTTAAAAACTTCCAGTGTTGGAGCATTCATAACTTCTGGAGGCAAGTTGTTCCACTTTAATTGTTCTAACTATCAGGAAATTTCTCCTTAGTTCTAAGTTGCTTCTCTCCTTAATTAGCTTCTACTCGTTGCTTCTTGCTCCAGACATATTATACAGACAGAATATACAGAAGCAATCATTCTACTCATTAGAAGAACACCAAAGATTATCTGAGTCAGGAAGGATCCAATTTGAATGGAATATATTCTCTTTGTAGACTTGCCTAACAAATCACATTTTCTAATTATCATAACGAACCACTGATTGATGAATATTTAGTATGGTCAATCTGCATGTAAATTTAAGATCAAATCTGTCAGAATATTCATGAACTGGCAGAGACATGGTAACAAGGTCAGCCAATGAACGGCTTAAGAATGGATCAGCCAATGGGAGCTGAACTGGAAACAGAAACTAAAAGAGTGAATCTGGGCATGGCTTATCTCTGTTCTCTGCTTTGAGCTCAGAAGTTGCTGCTTGTGTTTTGCTTGTGTTACGTTGGAAGAATCTACTATTGGTATTGTACAATTTACTCATATATTATTACGTATATAAAGAAGTCAATGAATCCTGCTAAATCAGTCATCTCTGTGTGCTTTCTGGATTTGATTTCTGCAATAAACTCTAACAGTTATGTGCCCAGAACACACAAAAAGACTGAATTGTAATTTAGGCTGAGAGACTGCCTGTGTTTAAAAGGAGAAACAAAGCAGAGAAAAGTTTGCAGGATGGCTGCTGTGGAAATTAAGGAGAGCTCTCTGCCTTGTTTGGGACAGAACTATATTATTTGGGCTGCAAAGATGGAATGTTTCCTGAAAGCTAAAGGGCTGTGAAATACTGTTGAAAACCCACCCCAAGCGCCATTAGCTGCTGAAGATCAGAGGCAGCATGATAAAGCAATGGCTTATATCATCTTAAGTTCAGAAGATGAACAGTTTATCAATGTAACTGATTTAAAGACTGCAAAGGAGGTCTGGCTGAAGTTAAGAAGTGTGCATGCGAGTGTGTCATGCAATATTGTGCAATTATCAAGAAAGTTACACAGACCCAGTTTGCAACCAGGAGAATCAGTGGAGCAGCATTGTGTACATATGCAGACTTTGTTGAATTAGAACAGCATGGAATGCAGTTTCCTGAATCTCAGAAAGTGGTATTGGTTAACAACAGTCTAAATCAGGGGTCACCAACCTTTTGGACCTCAGGGACCACCCAATTTATAATCTTAAATCCCAGGGACCACTAATATGAATTTTGACTGTTGGTGGCTTGCTGAAGTTGGGGTGTGTGTGTGTGTGAGAGAGAAAGAGATGGAGGGAGGGAGAAAGACGGGAGAGAGGGAAGGAGAGAGGGGGGAGAGACGGGGAGAGAGAGGGGGGAGAGGGAGAGAGGGGGAGAGAGGGAGAGGGGGGGTTAGATCAGATCTCTCTCTCACACACACGCACACACACACACACAAACACAGAGGCAGGGGTTCTGTGGGTGTGGCCTAATTTGCGGGTATGGCTTGGTGGTCATGTGACTGGCTGGACATGGCTTGTATGTAAATATTATAAATATTTATATAAATATTGAATTTTTTTATAAAAAAGAGCAACTTTTACCCAAAATCAGACAAAGCTGGCAGGCAGATTGAGTTGCTCACAGAATCATAGATTCATTCAGAGCTCTATCGTTCTGCCATTGGCTAGCTGAGTCTGTCACACAAAATTTGCTTGCAAGGAAACTCATAAAATTTGCTAGCAAGAAAACTCACAAAATTAGCTCACAACACACCATGTATGTAAATATTGAAATTTTTATTAAAAAAAGAGCAACTTTTACCCAAAATCAGGCAAAGCAGGCCGGCAGATTGAATTGCTCATAGAATCACAGATTCACTTAGAGATCTGTGTTTCTGCCATCGGCTAGCTGAGTCTGTACTGCTTCAGTCCTAAGGAACGTCTAAAGATTAGGCTAGAAAGCAAGAAATCCAACAATTTTCTGCTTTCTAGCTAATCTAATCTTTTAACTTAAAAGATTAGATTTAAATGCAATTCCTGCTCTGGTTTGCATTCAAATACGACAGAAACAATGTCCCAGAGTCATTTAGACCAGCAGTTGCCAACTGGTGGCCCGCGGCCCACTGGTGGTCCGTGAGAACAGCTGATGGTCGGAAAAAGGAAAAATAGCAACTTAGCAGGCAAGTTTGCTAGGTAAGGAGTGAGTGGGCGGGGAGGGAGGGCCATGTGGGCAGTGCAGCCTTGTGTTCCTGCACAGCCTGGATTAATTGCTTTGGTGGGGGTGCTCTGGGAGTGACATTCCTGTGCAGACCACCAAAATTTTCTCACGGACCACTAGTGGGCCACGGGCCGCCAGTTGGCAACCACTGGTTTAAATGACTCATGGGACATTATTTCTGCAGTATTTGAATGCAAACCAGAGCAGGAATTACATTTGGAGGCGTTAAAAGCTTTTTTAATAGCTGAGGAACAGAAGTGCCAGTTTAGAAGCCATGAGGACAATATCCTGAGGAGGGGGCCCAAGGAGCAGAAAGATAAGAGCAATGGAAAATTCCACAGACTGGCCATCTCCAAAGA